ACCCATGACAAAGATAAACTTCTGTACTCAGTTTTCGCATGGATAGAAAAAATACTCATACTGGACATAGTGGCACCTTCCAATACTTGGGAAATTGAGGCAGAGGAACCAAGTTTGAGGCCAGCCTGAACTAAATAGCAAGACCCTCTCCCAAACAATTAATTAATTAAAGGAATAAAACTGTCCTATGGCTTTTTCAAGATGTGATATTCCAACTTCAAATCTCTCCTTTCTCTACTTAATCTAACCATATCCTATCAACTAATCATTCTCCTAAAATGTCTATATACAATTCATCCACTCTTTCCTATCAACCTACATGGTACAATCTACCATTATTTTTGCTTTAGTTACTTGACAGGCTCCTAACTGATCTTCCAAATTCTATATTCTTTCCTTTCCAACATGGCAACTATAATGCTCTTTTTAAAACATAAAATGGATTATTATATCAAATTGTTGTAAAAATCTTCAGTGGTACCTTAGTACAATAAAGATTAAGGACCTAAATTTTAATATGGCCTACATGACCCAGACCTATGTCATTCACTACCATTATTACCATACTCATGTAATATAGGTTTTCTTCCAGTTCTCAAAAATGTCAATCTCCTTTCCTGCCACAAGAACCCTTACAAAGGCAAAGCAATGCTCCTGAAACATCAGTCAGTGATTCTGAACTCTGGTCCTGACTTGATGTATATAAAGTTAGTACCTGCCCTAAGGACTTGGTATGATTTAGCAAAAATAAAATAAAATAAATCTGAATGCTTTATTAAAGGGTTTCCTATAAAGAAAAATGTTATTTTCATAGGCTCTCTAAACTAAAAGCAAGAAAATAATTATTCACATTCTTCATTTTCTAGTGGGAAAAAAAAAAAACCCCACCTTACCAGGGATATACATCATGTCTAGACCAACAGCTTTCTTGCCTACTCTACCTTAGGCAAGGGTCAACTCCTGCTATATGATTTTCTGTTCCAAAAATGACATTTAAAGCTACATAAAAAGTAAAATGAGGAAGTGGCGCTGTAGCTCAAGTGGTAGAGCGCTCGCCTTGAGCTGAAGAGCTGAGGGCCAGCGCCCAGGCCCAGAGTTCAAGCCCCATGACCGACAAAAAAAAAAAAAAAAAGAATAATGTATAGTATTTTACAAAAATAATACATAAAATCACAATTAAAATCTTTGTAGTTTGGAAATAGTGGCTAAGTCTATAACTTAACTACTCAGGAGGCCGAGATCTGAGGATCATCACATTTCAAAGCTTGCCCAGGAAGACAAATCTGAGACACTCATCTCCAATTAACCAACAAAAAGCTGGAGTTGGAGGGGTGGCTTAAATGGTAGAGTAGTAACCAATGCAAAAAAGCTAGAGTATGAAGCCCAGTGAGAGTTCAAGTCAATACACACACACACACCACACACACCACACACACACACACACACACACACACACACACAAAACATTGGTTGATTGATTTGTATAAGGCAGGATCTTGTTATGTAGCCTAGAATGGCCTTGAACTGGCCATCCTCCTGCTTCAGCCTCCTAGCTACTAGCCCTATAAGCATGTGACACAACTCCTGGCCAACTAAAGATTCTTATACAGAACCATGGAAAACATTCGTCTCCAAAGAGAAATTAAATAAAACAAGAAACCATACTCAAGTCAAAAGCAAAAAGACAATAATGAACTCACAAGAACATTTCTAAATCCAGCCACAAGAGGGCAGCAATTGATGGCCATTTATTCTTCCCAGGGAAGCAGATGAGAAGACTGTGACCATAAAAAACATTTTATCTGCAGAAAGGCAACCTAAAAATATCACTTAGAAGCTGGCCTTGGTTTCACTTGCACAATAAGATTATCTATAAGTCAAAGCGAAATGTAGCACATAAGCCCCACTAGGGATGAAGTCTGGATGATAACAAAGTGGTCATCACAGGTTTCCAGACACAAGATTGTTGCAAACAGACTTTGCAAACAGCCCAATTCTGTCTTCAGAAAACTAAGTCCCAATTAAGAAAGGATGATCCAAAATCAGAAAACTACATAAACTTCTGAAAAAGCACAATATTAAAATGACACTTTCATCTACAATTTTAACAGTCACAGAAAGTGGCAGGATAAAAACTGGCTTTGTGCTGCTTTGCTTCAACTGCCAGCACTTAAAATCACACTTGCTTACCTTTTCTTACAATACTTCCAGGAAATTGGGGGAAAGGAAGTTGTCCTTTGGGGAGAAAGGAAGTCATTCCTTCACTTCATCATCAAATAAAAAGCATTCAGCAAAATGGCACAAAGGAGTAAATGCAGTAATATTTTTTGTATTATAAAATACTTTCCAGGAAATGCACTGTGGCTAGAGTGCTTGCATTGAGCTGAAGAGCTCAGTGACAGTGCCCAAGCCCAGAGTTCAAGTCCCATAACCAACAACAACAACAACAAAAGCATTACGCAAGGTAGAAGGAATAAGGAAGCTAAAAACAAAAACTTTCCAAACCAACTTAGGCCTCAATTTGTCAGGAACACTCTGAATTCAATATGAGTGTACTATGGCTTTCTGCAAACAACTGTTTTTCCAGTGGTGAGAAGCAAACCCTCAGTCCCACACAAAGTACACAAGGACTCTACCAGTGAGCCACACCTCCAGCCACACAACTCACTTTCAACAACAATGCACCACAGAGATACAGACACACCTGTCCTGAGAGACAACACTTCCACACACAACTCTGGTTCTTCCACAAGTGCCTTCTGCCACAGCTAGCTTTAGGTCCCACACTCCATGCCAAACATGGGCCTGACACATACAGCGCACACCAGGTGTGTATGCTGTGAAACAGACCACTACCACAGACAACACGAAGGACATCCAAATCTATGAGAAACCACGTGGGAGTCATCTGGGGAGGGTCCTGGGGCCCCGTGCTCCCTTAATCAACCAAAACATCCACAGAAACAAACACATGGCAAGTAAACATCCCTTCATGTGCACACCACCTGCTACAGAAGTTCAAGTAAGACGCACCAGTGAAACAGGAAACCTGCCTAAGAAGAAAAGCGAGCTATGTGACAGGGAGGAGCTTGCTGGTCAGTGCCGGTGCTGGTGGCACACGGTCTGCCAGCTCTGCTGCCCCTGCCCCTGCTGCAGAGGGGGCGAGTCAGCCTTGCTCTACCTGATCCAATACTCTCTCTGACATCTGGGCCAGTCTGCTCCTGAATCAGCTCTCCCAGGGCAGAATCGGAGGAATGGTGTCGCACAGACATTCTTCAAATTCAGGAGCAACACGCATAGCTGGTCAGAAGACCCAAGCTCTGCTGCTGCCTGCCCACACCCCCACCCCTTTATGACTCTATTGCTGACATCACCTTTACCTCACGCCGCTCACGGGAACGCCTACAGCCAAGCAACACACACACACACACACAGTACAACACAAGGCTGCCTGTTTGAGATGCAACAGTCTTCAATGACACACACACACACACACACACAGTGCAACACAGGCTGCCTGTTTGAGATGCAACAGTCTTCAATGAACCGCTACTCAGTGTGTAAGGCTGAGCCATGGTTACTCACGATGGAGCAACACCAATTTCAGGAAAAAGAATGGTACTGAGTCCAGTGAACACAGAGCACACTGGCTGGGCACTTGAGTCACTGGCCTATAGGACTTCAACAGCCACATCCTGGCTACTCGGATCACAGCTGAGTGGAAATGAAAACGTGCCAAAGACTATTGTTTCTTTTCAATAAATACTAGCCTGACTAATCAGTTTTAAGAGAGCCTGTAAAAAAAATATCAGACACAGACAACAAAAAGAAAGGGAGGCAGAGAAAATGGCAAAACACAATGAGGTATGAAAAGTAAACAGGACTCACGAAACCCATACATGGTGAAACCAAACGAGGTCAGCCTCTGGAGAAAAACACCAAATTGTAATAATAACCTCTTCCTATGCGCATAAATAATATTCAGACTGAAAAGAACCCCAAAGACAAGGAAACAAAGGACCTCTTAGCGTTTTTAGATGACTCTGTATTCTTTACCTCATATATTGTGTATACATATGCACAGCTGAGTTGGAAGGTGTGAGGAAGGCACAGAATCAGTGGACAGCTGGTGGAAAATAAAGCAGGGGGCCCATCAGCTGCACTGGACATTGATGAAAGTGAACTAAGCAACTCTAGGGCGGCGATGGGAGGGAGGGAAGGAGAGGGAAAGAGGATACAGCTGATACTAAGCAAAAGGAAAGAAATATACATATCACCCAATCGGGAAAAAAGTTTTGTTATAAATGTTCAAAGGGTTCATAAGTTTTGCAGATTAGAATGATGATGACTATCATTGTAAAGGTTAAAAGGTGTTTGTGACTTTAAGTATAACTATGCCATAGCACTGTGAAATGTATGTAGCTACTTAATCTCAGTAAAGAAATCTTTGCGGGGGAGAAAAGAAAATGGCAAAAACTACATTATCTCCTCCTTGTACGTGACATGCTGAAGTGCCCAAATGACAAATGAATACAACTGCATGTCACACAGCGAAGTCCTGAAAGGGTAAAGATACCACCAGAGAAGCATGACTGCAGCTGTAACAGCTGACAGCCAGGCATAGGGTGCGCCTCGGTCTCAGCTGTCTGGACAGTTAAGGCAGGAGAATCTCTTAGCCCAGAGTTCCCAGACTAACTCAGGCAACATAGCAAAACTGCATCTCAAATAAATAAACTAACCAATGAAAACAGTACAGTAAAGATGCTTATCCTCATCTCTGGAAGAGTCCTGACACAACAGAATGCAGAGCTTGCCTGTAACTATTGCACCCTCTATCCCAGCTTCCCAATGTAAGGAAGGGTAAAAACAAACAACTACCTAAGGCCAGATGACCTGGACTCCCACAGAGAAGCTTCAGACGCTCCCTTGCTCCCATGCTCCCGTGCTCCTGTGCTCCCATGCTCCCATCCTCCAGAAGATGGGCAGGCTCAGCCTCTTACCACGGGGCTTAACCTCACGCACGTAGTTGCTGGGGAACCAGCCGGTCCTGCCGTTGTGTGCGCCCTCCCACCAGCCTCCTTCCTCCACTCGTGTGACATGGATGACATCACCCTTCGTGAAGGACAGCTCATCTTCATTGGTCTGCTGGAAGTTAAACTTGGCTCGTACTACCAGTTGATTGTTGCTATTATCAGTCATGTCCTAAAAGACAAGTGGGGGAAAGATGGGAGAAAAATGTCTACTTCATTATTAAAAAAAAAAGAATTAGATCATATTACTATTATAAATCTAGTTAAAACTTATTGTGAATAACTAAAGCATTCCAACAGCAGGAAAATCCCCATTTCCCAGTGCCCTTACTCATCACCAGGCCCCACGTCCCAGGGAGACCCTTTCCACACTGGAAAGGCCTGTTCTGCCAGTAGTGCACTGCGCACATACATACACATACACACACACACTCTGCCAGTAGTGCACTGCACACATACACACACACACACACACACACACACACACACAGAGTCTGAATACCTCTCTTACACACATAAAGTTGCGCGCTGCGCTCATTTCCCAGCCAACTGATTAGCTAATTAGCCGCATACCACACTGCAATTGTGCCATTCTTAAGCGAGGCTTCCATTATGAATGTTAGGTTATTCTACCTAGTATTTTCTAATATGGCAATACAGTGTTTTTCTAGGGTATAATAAAAATATATCCATCTTTGAAGGCATCTATAAATAAGCCTAAATACTAAACTCTGGTCTGAGCCAAAGAACACTTCTTAAATTTTATGTATACTTCTAAACTGTCTAAATATTAATATATTTCTCCTCAGCCCTCCAAAATGTTCTATAAAGTTAACACCAAGTAACATGCCCACCAACACTATATAAGAATTCTTTCTTTGCCAAACTTGTACTGGCCCTGAAGACTGCCAAACATACACCTCTTTGCCACATGCACAGGAAAAACAGTATCCCACACAGTTAATGCTATTTTTTTTCTTTTCAGAGAGTGCATAGTTTGAGGTCTTCCAGAGCCTGGACCTGGCTCTGGACAGGCCAGTGGTATAAGCCCACTGAAGAGGCAGATGCCTATATAAAATTCCTGGACAGGCTTCTTGTGGCTGCCCCAGGAGCAGGACCAGGGCAACCAGCTGATCCCAGCCCCCCTGTACCAACCCCGACCTCCTCAGCCCCGGTGAAGACCATGGTCTCATCTCTGTGCCTTCCCCTTGCAGGTGTAAGCTCAGCCCACCCCGGGCCAGAGGACTGGGCAGGGTGCCTTTCTGCAGCCAGAGAGCAACAGATCTCAGCTCTCACCAGTCAGGCAAGAGATACGGCTGCAGTAGGCAACCCCCAGGTGCCCACATAACTGTGCCCTGGGCCCTGCAACCAGCCAGTCAGGGGACAGGAAGACTGGAACAGGACCCAACAGCGCTGATACCCTCTCCAAGGCACCTAGGGTTCAGGGAAAACACTTCTTGTACACAGGATACCCAATAATGCCAAACAATAAACCCATGACCTACAAAAGAAAGGACAACCAACCAAAAAAGGAGGTACAACTCCAAGACCAAGAGAAGCAGATACAGGAAGGAGACATGTGCCCCTCTCAGCTGTGCTTAAAACAGTCTGAGACTCAATACTGTCCCTGTGTACTGTACTGCAAGTTGAAAAGACTGAAGGAGATGTGTGTAGTAAATTTTGGTATAACTTCTTACAGGACTTGGAAGCAGTTTGTGAATACAGACTGATACCAAAGCGAAATTATCAGACAGCAAGAGGGGAGCACCCAGGGAAATGTGGGGCCCAGGTTCTGGAGACCTACAGGACCACGGGGAAGAAAATGTCATAGGAGAGACTACAAGGAGCTGGTGGCTCACACTATAATTTTTGTTACTCAGGAAGCTAAGTGCTAAAGAACCACATTTCCAAGCCAGCCTGGGCAGAAAAATCCATGAGACTTCATCTACAAGTAACCAGCAAAAGTAAGCTGCAAACATGACTCAAGAGACTAACAGAGCACAAGCTGTAAGCAAGCCAAGTGAGAGAGAGGCCCTGAGTTCAAGACCCAGGACTGACTGGCAAGCAGGCGAGCAAAGGAAGGTATATCACGTTGCTTCTCCCAGAAATGAAAGGAAACTAACAGACACTGCCTCAAGGCTCTGCTAGTCACACTGAAAACTCAAGGTTGAATTTATTAACCAGCAGAGAGTGGAAGGTTAGGGCATGACAGTGACACTGGAAACTACAGAACACCGGTAATGTTAAGAAGAAAGGATGACAGCCAGGCGCTGGTGACTTGCCTGTAATCCTAGCTACTCAGGAGGCTGAGATCTGAGGATGGCAGTTCAAAGCCAGCCCGGGCAATAAAGTCCATGAGACTCTTATCTCCAATTAACCACCAGAAAACTGGAAGTGGTGCTGTGGCTTAAGTGCTGGAGCATCGGCCTTTAGCTAAAGAGTTCAGGGACAGTGCCCAGATCCACAGTTCATGACCAGCAACAACAAAAAAAAGTTCTGCTAATAGGGGTTGGGGCTGAAGAGCTGAGGGACAGCTCCCAGGCCCAGAGTTCAAGTGTCACAACTGACCCAAAAAAAACAAAAAAGAATAAAGGATGAAATCAAACCTACTTAAGAAAAAATTATGGCCTACCGCCTGGGTCCACCACACTCAATTTAATTGCCCATTTCTTCTACTAAGCTGAGAGATACATCACAAAGCAGGGTAAAAGAAAAGCTCAATTCAGCTGAATGCATTTGAAAGGCGATAGTATGAAATCACCACATAACAGAGAGGACAGGGAATGGTACAGAAATATCTAAAAGACAAGTTGGAACTTCCCCTTCCGTGCAAATGAAACACAACTGTTCAAGTCTTTCTGTGCCAAGGGAGGAAATCTGTCTTCAGCAGAGATGATGATGATGTCACAGACTAAAAAGCAAGACTGAGAATAACCAGTAAGTAAGGGATGGCCCGATGAGTACTCTGTAAACTAAGGAGTTGTAACTGATTAAAAGAAAAAAATAACATGTAGGCCAGAGGCCAGTGGCTCACACTTGAAATCCAAGCTACTCAGGAGGCTGAGATCTAAGGATCACAGTTCAAAGCCAGCCTGGTAAAAGAAAGTCCATGAGACTCTTTTTTTTTTGGGGGGGGGGGGTCCGGTCATGGGGCATGAACTCTGGGCCTGGGCACTGTCCCTCAGCTCTTCAGCTCAAAGCTAGCGCTCTACCACTTGAGCCACAGTGCCACTTCCGGCTTTTTTCTTTTTGCTTATGTGGTGCTGAGGAATCGAACTCAGGGCCTTGAGCATGCAAGGCAAGTGCTCTACCACTGAGCCACCTTCCCAGCCCATCCATGAGACTCTTATCTCCAATAAACTACCAGAAAGCTGGAAGAAGAGCTGTGGCTCAAGTGGTAGAGTGTTTTTCTGAGCAAAAGAAGCTTAGGGACAGCATCCAAGCCTAAGTTTAAGCCCCAGAACTGGCACCAAAAAAAAAAAAAAAAAGTATGTGATCAGGTGCCAGTAGTTCCCACCTGTAATCCTAGCTACTCAGAGGCTGAGACCTGAGAATAGTGGTTCAAATCCAGCCTAGGCAGAAAAGTTTGTGAGACTTCTTATCTCCAATTATCTACCAAAAAGCCAGAAGTGGAACTTCAGCTAATGTGGTACAGTGCTAACCTTGAGCAAAATATAAATAAATAAATAAATGCTCAAGGACAGTGCCCAGGCCCTAAGTTTAAGCCCCAGGGATGGCATCAATAAAAACTATTTTTTAAATAAAAGCTGAACTTTATTTTAAAAAGATCCAAACGCAGATGTTCAAGAGTCACAAGTTGCTTAGCTTGTTTTTCTGATAAAAACTACAAGCACAGGAGAAAGTAGAGAGTAACAGGTGGCCCTCCATATACCTATCATTTAATTGTGTGCAAACATTTACCAGTCCCGTTCCACTATAATCTTACTTTGGACTCAAGAAAATCATCTTACAATGCTATTAATAAATCATGTTCAGAAAAACCCAAGGACAAAAAATAACCCCAGCATGTAAGAGGGCCTTGTAATGTCCCATGAAAGAAAAGTCACCTTGGCAGTGGCCCATGGCCCGAGGAGACGGAAACTGACCAGCCACAAGGAAACACACAGGCAAGAATGCTGAGGCTGATCATTCTCCTAGCTAGTGAAAATTAGTCCTATGCTAATTATGGCCTCAGTAAGCTTCATGACCAACCTGATATTTAAGATTATTTCTCTTAAAATTATACATTTGTAATCCATTCATTTACTCACTAAGAAAAAAAATGAAAATTTCCCAGATAAAATAGACTTGGACTGAGAATGTGGCTTAGTGGTAGAGTGCTTGCCTAGCATACATGAAGCCCTGGGTTCGATTCCTCAGTACCACATAAACAGAAAAAGACTAGGAGTGGTGGCACTGTGGCTCAAGTGGTAAAGGCTAGTCTTGAGCAAAAGAATCTCAGGGACAGTGACCAAGCCCTGCGTTCAAGTCCCATGACTGGGAAAGAAAGGAAGGGAGGAAGGAAGAAAGGAAGGAAGGGAGGGAGGGAGGGAGGGAAGGAAGGAAGAGGGAGGCAGGCAGGCAGGCAGGCAGGCAGGCAGGCAGGCAGGCAGGCAGGCAGGCTGCAGGTATTTCTTCACGCAAAGTGTGCTCATTTCATTTCTTACAACTCCCTCATATTTTATAAAGTGAATACACTGAAATATGTTTGAAGTAGTGTGAGTGTTTCTCTGTAATTTGTCCTTAATGTTCAGTTTCTCCAGAATCAAGTCCTATAGACAGGGCAGACCCTACCCAGCGCTGGCAGCTGCAGGGCTGTGTAAGGATGTGGCTGACACAGTGCCACTGCGCACTCCTGCATCAGAGCTAATGGGCTTCTCTAAGAGGGAACATGGCCCCCATTAGCATCACTGAACACACTTAGATACACAAAAACCTCGTGTTCCTTCCACATCTTTCCAGTGTTATTTAACATGCTCTGTAAAATACAACTCTATCAGAATTAACCTTTACTTCTTGAGGCTCACTGTTAGCAAACTATCAATTTCCTTCCTGATTCAGAGCAGAAGGAAAGCCACAGTCCTCTTAAATCTCTGGAAAAAATAGACTTTCATTACTTTCAGCACAAGAATACACTATGTTTCCAAGGAGAAACATGAGGAAAAATGTTTCCTGCCAATGTTCTAACTCAAAAGAGGAAGCACAGCTAGGCAGGGAAGCAGTGGCACAGCCCCCCAACACCACATCAGGGCCTGCACTTAGTATTTCCCTAACCTCAACACTAACCTCAATGTTATATTTGTGAACTTCCTAGAAACTCAGTAAGACACCAGAAGATGCTGTAGCAAGAGAAAAGGCTGCCTATGAACCATCAGTTCTACCCCTTTCTCTCTTCTAGGTACACTAAATGCTCTCCACCCCACCCCACCCTTAGCCCCCCACCCCACCCCCCCCACACACACACCTCATACTTCCACACACTGAGGAACAACAGGGGGAAGAAAATACTACAGAGAAAGAATGTCAAAGTGCAGAAGCTAGGAGTCTTAAATACAATCCCAATACACAGCCCTCATTTGGCACAGTACGTGGAGGTTCTGGTGGCAAACAAACTCCCAGCCATCCTGCAGCCATCCTCCTGCTGTTTAGCACTCTGTAGATAAAGTACCAAGACCCTCCAGACACATCTCATAACCCCAAATACATTTGACACTTGAGTAACAAAACCTCTTGCACTTACCAAACTCCGGTACTGGCCCTGGAACAATTTTGAAGTCCGACTGTGTGAAGGCTGGGATCCCAAGGAATCAAAAGACTTTATCCGATGTGAAGAGGGCCGAGCACACACGGAATCACTTCCCAGTCCAATGTCTGAAAAGGTCATGCACACAGAAGGAAAAAGCACTGACAATGCCCAACACCACAGATGCTCCCCACACTGACGCTAAAACTGGGCCAGTCTGAAGGGACACACCGAAGACCACACAAAGCAGGCCATTTACGCAGTATACAAAGAGCAGATTCTTTGTCCCATAAATAACTTGCATTCATTCCCCAATTACCTCTCCAGACAACTGTCTGGAGATGACCACTTATCAGCTCTTCTCTAGTATAATTTTTTTCAGTTTGTGAACTTTTTCGTTCTTCCCCTTCCCCTTTGAAAAAGCAAGCCTCTCAAATTCAATTACCTTGCAGTGCAGAAAACCCTCTCTCCACACATGCCCGCTTCTCCAAGACAACATGCGATAAGCAATGAGAATCACTTTGCAACAAAAGGAAAAGACTTCTTTAAAGCAAAAGAAGCTGGCTGGGTGCCGGTGGCTCACGACTGTAATCCTAGCTACTCAGCAGGCTGCATCTGAGGATCATGGTTCAAAGCCAGCCCAGGGAGGAGCACTCGCCTTGAGCTGAAGAGCTGAGGGACAGTGCCCAGGCCCAGAGTTCAAGCCCCACAACTGACAAAAATAAATAAATAAAGCAACAGAAAATCCTTGTATATTTGCCATCTGGAGATGCTACTGAGTACCATCTCCAGAGGAAGCTGCACTTCTCCACTCTCCACAGAAAGCAGATATGAAGGGGCATAGCTCCATTCTCTGCATTCCCATCAAGAAAAGTCCAACATTGGGTAAATGCTCACAGTCCATTTCTTTTTTTTTTTTTTTTTTTTTTTT